AGTCACCACTGTCGCCTGAACTTCCTAATTAGTCACCACAAGATCCTCCTGAATCCCCCAAATGGCGAGTGCTAAACCCTTTTGAATTCCCTGAATGGCGGGCGCCAGAACCCTCTGAATTCTCTGAATGGCGGGCACCAGACACTTTGGTATCCCTCAAATGGCGGGCGCAAGGATCCTCTGAATCCCTAGAATGGCAGGCGCCAGACACCTCTGAAATCCACGAAAGGCCAGAACTGCCATCCGAGTCCCACGAAAAGCCAGAGCAGTTACCCAAGTCCCATGAAAGGCCAGAGCCACCACCTGAGTCCCACAAAAGGCCAAAGCCACCACCAGAGTCCCACATAAGGCCTGAGCTGCCACTGAGTCCCACAAAAGGCTAAAGCCACCACCGGAATTCCACATAAGGCCAGAGCTGCCACCCGAGTCCCACGAAAAGCCAGAGCAGTCACCCGAGTCCCATAAAAGGCTAGAGCTGCCACCCGAGTCCCACGAAAGGCCAGAGCCGCCACCCGAGATCCACAAAAGGCCAGAATAACCACCTGAGTACCACGAATAGCTGTCAGAGCCATGTGACCTCCCAAAGCCGCCTAAACCATATAAACCTTCTGTGCCCTCTGAACCAAAGCCCCCTGATTCACTGGAGTTAAATGAACTGCCAGTGTTTCCTGAACCCAAGCCTTTTGACCCACTGGATTTAAATGAACTGCAAGTGTCTCCTGAACCCAAGCCTCCTGACTCACTGGAGTTAAATGAACTGCCAATGTCTCCTGAACCCAAGCCTCTTGACCCACTGGATTTAAAGGAACTGCCAGTGTCTCCTGAATCCAGGCCTCCTGACCCACTGGGGTTGAATGAACTGCTGGTGCATCTTGAACCTAAGCCTGCTGACCCACTGGGGTTGAATGAACTGCCAGTGCATCTTGAACCTAAGCCTGCTGGGGTTAAATACATGGGTAATGCCTCCTGAATCCAAGCCTCCTGACCCACTACGGTTTAATTAACTGCCTGTACTTCCTGAACCTAGGACTCTTGACACACTGGGTATATGACGCGTCTATGCCTGCTGAGCCAAAGCCTCCAGACATACCGCAGCTCCACGCTCCAGGCCCTCTGCAGCTCCACGCTCCAGGCCCTGTGCAGCTCCACTCTCCAGGCCTTCCGCAGCTCCACACTCCAGGCCCTCTGCAGCTCCATGCTCCGGGCCCGCCACAGCTCCATGCTCCAGGCCCTCCGCAGCTCCATGCTCTAGGCTCTCCACAACTCCCCGCTCCAGACCCTCCGCAGCCCCACTCTCTTGGCCCGCCTATGCCCCACGGCCCAGGCCCGACCAACCAGCTCCCAGACTGCGGGGACGCCCACTTTGAGTTCCAGGAGTCACTCCTAGAGGGGGTACTATAACGCCACGCAAGCAGAGGGAGCCCTCGCCCAACTACTGACTCAGCTCCGCTCCCTCTGCAGTCACTTCCTGTTTGTGCTGTATTATAGCAAGAGCTCAGGCCATGCTTACTTGCGAAGTATTGCCAATCTACCTGCATTACCAAGCGTTTTCCAAGAGACTTTCATGACTGACTGCCTGCCTGTGTATGACTCTGCCTGCCTTGATCAAGTACGTAATCTGTCTTTGCCCTCTTGCTCTGTTTTGGACTTCTTATTTTTGCCTTGAACTTTTGCCTGCCTTATTACCACGTCTTCTGGATTTGCCCCTCTATTTCTTGATCTGTTTTGGACTGATAGTTGTTATACTGAACCTCTGCCTGCACTTTCTGCACTGGATTTGCCCCATGTGTTTGTTGAATGGATTGGACTGCTTATGTGTTGCCGACTTTCTGCCTGTTTACTCACTGATGTCTCTGCCTAAACCCTTTAATAAAACTTCTGCATATGGATTCTAATACTGTCTCAGACTCCCCGTTACACTCTTTAATATAAACGAAGTGTGACTGTGCTAAGATTTAACATTTTTTCAAAGAAATATCAGCTTGTTTATGTTTTCTGGCATAAGCTGAGATCTTTGCTCATTTACAATGTCCCTTGCTGATGAAAAAACACTTTCACTGGGGACTGAGATGGCAAGGGAAGCCTTTCCTAAACAAGAGAGCAGTGTGTACAGAGGTGGTCAAAAGGCCCTCTGCGCCAGTGCCCTCTGCTCCAGGGCACTGGCAACTGGCATATAATACTAAGACATATAAATATATCATATACGATATTATAAGCAATTTTTTTAAAAGATACAAAAACTAAATTGAAAAGGAACAATCTAATACCTTGTTTTGTAACAGGACAGCTTCCTCTTTCAATCTGAAAAAGATCTTCACATTTTCGCTATGAAAACACTGATGCACTGTGTGATCTCCATAACATCAGTACTTGTCAGAGCATGCGGAGATGCCAATCCTCCAGTCTGCGTGGTTTGGCCTATTAAGAGCTTTTTGTGTATAGATGTCTGTGTTTTTTACTGTGCTGCATCATATTTGTTGTACAGTGTAAAGCTGGATTTATACTTTTGCCTGGCGCTGCATCCTCGCAAAACGGATGAGGTTTTTATTCAGTGCCTTGTTCAGAGGAATCATGCCTTGATATTAAGGTTGAATGAGAGTGCTGGGAAAGCAATAATTCCACGTTTGAAGTCCAACTCTTACCATTAGGCCACACCATCAGCATGCAAGGCTAAACCAGCTGCTGACAAAATGACAAGGACCTAAAGATTTGATTGGTAACCTATGAGATTCACTATCCCGAGAAGTTGAATTCCAATCAAACCTACCATGTCATCCTGATGTAAGAGTGGTAGGAATTGTCTGAAAAGAAACCTGAGACTTTTGATGGTACAAAAGTTGAAGGATATGAAGAGGAAAAATGGTGAATAATCAATGATTATTTAAAAAAATAACATAAATAACATTATTAATCTTAGTAAACAGTGTTATACTGTATAAAAGCAGGAGGTTAACATCTTTCATTTTCAGTATTTCGTGCTTTCCATTTATTTATGCTTGTAAAATGCATTATGGGATGTTGATCTCTGCTCTGTTGAAATTTGATGTTGAAAATTCAACTGTGCAGTTTAACAAAGTAACTTTTATTGGCATTTTAGTAGTTTCAGACAAGTTATTGTTTAACATACAATATATAGAGAAATGAGCCTGTAAAATAACAGAAAATGTATTGCAGCTTATTACCAGGTTTTTGCAGCATAATATAAAACACCAACCCAGACAATATATCACTTAAAACTATTAAAAAGTTTATATAAATCACTTTTGCAAACATTTTAAGGTTAAATGTTGTAAGAGGAAAAACATGATCCCAAAATGCATTCAAAAGCCCAAATGAGTGGAAAAAAACATGAATCACAAAATACGGAAAAACTGTGTACAGATATTTTTACATTGCATATTGCAAAAATAAACAAAACAACAGTTGTTAGTTTAACACTTACTTGAATAAAACTATATTTAGCCCAAAAAAATGTTTTTTAGTTATTAAAAAACAGTTTTTAGAATTAATAAGCAATCATTCTCTGGCAGATTTCAGGAAATGCCTGAGGTACCGCTTTTATATAAAATGTGTTGTAATTGTAATTGTTGTAATTATCTTTAATACAAAAAATGCTTGTCCGAACAGTGAGCATTATTTTTACTTCACTACATTTAAGTTGCATTTGGATAGGTTTCACTTGCCAAGTGGTTTGCACTAGTTATTGTACCTACACTAGAAATGTTCTGTTAACTCTGTTAAACTATAATTACGAAAGCTAAACCTTATATATGGCGGCACATTGACTCACTTCACAGCAAGAAGGTTGCTGGTTCGAGTCCTGGCTGAACTTGGTTTTCCTGTGTGGAAACTAATTTGGCTATAGCGTATATCTTTGTGTGTGTGTGTGTGTGTGTGTGTGTGTGTGTGTGTGTGTGTGTGTGTGTGTGTGCGTGTGTGTGTGTGTGTGTGAATGAGAGAGTGAATAGCTGTTTTCCCAGTTCTGGTTAGCAGCTGGAAGGGCATCCATTGCATAAAACAAATGCCGAAATAGTTGGGGGTTCATTTTCACTGTGGTGACCCCTAATAAATAAAGGGCTAAGCCAAAGGAAAATGACTTTAACTTTATATTAAAACTAAACTGAAATGTGTTCACAAAACTAAACAATAAACTAAAACTAACAAACCAATTAAGCAATTAACTACAAATACACTGAAATTTAGAGCAAATTTAAAACTATTTTTCAAATAAAACTAATTTAAAACTATAACAACCTTAACACACACACAGACAGAATGGTCTTCCTATCTTGCACAGACTTTTATTGTTTTTATATAAGGTTGTCTGTGGCCTACCCCATATGCCTAAACCCCACCCTCACAGAAACATGTGCCAAAGTTTATATACTAATAAAACATTATAGTAAGTCAAGATATAAACATTACTATCCAGTAAAGCCATTTCACTGGTCCTCACTAATTAAAATTAAACAACTTGCAAGAACATAAGTGTGTACCATTGAGCCCCCAACCCAGACATGTAGTGAAATCGTACAATAGAATCAAATGTATATTTTTCCCTTTTTACATTTTTTTGTTTGTTTGTTTCTTTTAATTAAATATGCTTAAGCACACATCACTGTTCGCATCAACATAAACACACACATAAACCTGATTTTTCTTTGCACTTCTGTGCTAAATCAACATAGATAGCATCACTGTGGTTAGTGTGGGTAAGTGTGAGAGAGGTCAAACAAGCATGTCATTTTACTCAAACTGTTATTTCTCCCCTTCCACCCAACCCCTCATTTCTCTTTTCTTCAAAGCAGCGGAAATTTTATGCTAGTCAAATTGAGAGAGCTGTGAAGACCATCTACGTAGTCTAAGAGATTTTTTAAATGAATATTATGATGAGTAGCTGCAGCTGTGTAATTCAAGAATAAAGTCACATTGAGGCTTACCAACACTTCATTGAAATTTTCTTTAGAGAAATATCTGTTAACAATCCTAGAAAATCTTACCTGACAGGTTAGCTTTGGTTACTGGTCCATGACTGCTAATTGGTGATCTTCTGTTACAGAAAGTGATGCAAGCAAACAAATATATGCGCAAAAAATCAGACATTAATGGTTATAGGTAACAAAAACAGTCATTGTTAACTGAAAAAGAGAGACAAAATATAATACATGTTCTTAATACTTTCAAGGTTTATTTAATATATATATATATATATATATATATATATATATATATATATATATATATATATAATCAAGAATTAAAAATTAATCTAATATATTCTTCCATATACAATTCCCGTACTAAAAAATGTAAACAGGGTTTTTTGCAATATTGACATGTTTTAAATATGGGAAATCATCAGGGGTCTAAAAAAGTTTTAAACCAACTGTAAAAAAAATAAAACAAATCAAAGAATAAACCATATAAATTAATTTGTGCCCTCTTGTGGTATTATGTCATATTACATGCAAATGTCACTTACTTGCTGGAGGGACATGACACGTTTGTCAGGATACTGAAATTATTCCTAACAGTGCGAAGGCTTGCAAGTACCTGTACAAAAATCACAAGAGTAGACATACTGCATAAAAAGAGCATCAAAACTCTGTCAATAGTAACGTTAAATTGCAAAAAGCAATATGTAAACATACCTGAGCAAAAGGAGTGACAATCAGGTCTTCACCATGTCTAACAACCATCAAAATAAGAAAAAAAGAAGAAAAAAATGTGTGAAATAATTTTTTTTATTCACGAGACTGCGTTGCCTTGCGTTGTTTTTTTTAAATTTGCATCATTTTTTGCATTGTGAAAATTTGCAGAATGTTTTCTTAATGTGCTTGCATTGTGAGGATTTGCCACACATATGCTGTCAAACAGATAAAGATCTTTTCTTAGTTTGCTGGTGTTTTTTTTTTTTATGGTGTTTTGTAATTGCATGTTTTCTTAAATTGCAACATGTTAAGCTCTCTCGGCCACTGTATCATTCAACGATCTGTAAAAACAATTTAAATGCTGTATCATTTATTATTTGACCAGTGGATGGCACTAGCACTTTGTGAAGAAGCACTACACATACTGTCCTCTAGTCTGCCATTGATTTTTTGGTTGTCGTTACCTCTGCATACAGTACATATGACTTAAGTTTGTACATGTCTTGCCTTGTGTTTTGTACATGTTTCCTTTGTTCCCTACAATATTTCCATTATTCATTAAGGCCCAAATGCTGGTGGTGAGATCGAGGACCCTCATGGAATTGCTAAATTTATTTATTTATTTACACAGGGACAATGTACAACATAACATGTTGTGCCAGAGTTAGCTACTTTACATCTGTAGTCCCGGGACAAATATCAACAATATTAAAAATATAAAACATAGTACAATAGACACAGTACAATACATACAATACATCAAAGTCAATAAAATGAAATAAAATCAGTGGTTGCATATTTGTGTTTCAAACATTATACATAGTTTTAAAAATATTAAAAGTGGTACTCTCTCTTATATACACTGGCATTTTATTCCATCTATCTGTTGATCCCACTGAAAAAAACAGATTGTCTAAAAAATGTTCTCCTGAGTTTAACTAAACAATTACCACTAACAGATAACCTAGTCTGACTTACTGTATATTGTCCTAGCAGGCAAATACACATTGATTGTGATGTGGTGGTGTGATCATTAAATATTTTTTAAATGTGACACACATCAGCATAAAATAATATAAATATGTCAAATGTTGGTAATTTATGTTGTTCAATACAATTACAGTAATGATAGCTCCTTGACTTTTTATCTTTTTTTTTTTTTTTTTTACAGTTTTTTAATAAATAATATACAACGGTTTTAATGTTGTAATGTTCGTGTGGGACCAACTTGTAGCACAATAAGATAAATGAGGGAAAATCATTGCATTCATAAAAAGTTTAGCAGCAGCCATAGGTAACTAATACCTGATGTTTCTAATAATCAGGCTTGCTCTAGCACTTTTAGAAACATTTTTAATGTTTTAATTAAAGTCCATAAGTATACCTAAATATTTAAAATTATCAACAATACTTATTACTTCTCTATTATGTAAAATATCAGAGCAATGCTCCTCATTTTTCTTGATTGAAAACAAAAACAAAAAACATTCCCAAGGTTTTACTTATATCGAGGGTAAGAAATGAACAACATAACCGGTCTGAAACTTTATTGAGTGCTGCAGTAAGTGTGTTAGCAGCTTGTTTCAATTTTTTTTATTTTTTTATTTTTTGCGTGAGTGTATACTACTGTGTCATGTGTGTACATCTGAACCTGAACTTCTGGACACAATGCAGGCAAATTATTAATGTATAAACTAAACAGAATTTGTCCAAAATGTCTACAATATAACCATTAATAATTGGTGAGCATGCGCATGATAATTTAGATAAAAGTATGTTGTGGTTAACATTATCAAAAGCCTTTTTAACCAACAACTTCACCCCAATCTAGACTAAATTTAATTTATAAGTTTGCATTCTCCATAGCTCTAAATCCAGAGGTTATGACTGCTGACTTCCAGGCACTTGGAACATAAGACTGTCTTATTGACAGAATATAATATTTAGGGCTTGCATAGTAAACTAGTCGAGCAATCAACTACTTCAACCACTAGTCAGGGCTCTCAGAAACAATCGACTACTTGAGCGTGAATGACATCTTGAGCGTAAATGACAAAGTCGAGCTTAAATGACATAAAAACGACAAACGTATCCAACAAACAGCACGATCCAAGGTTAAAGCAGCCAAAAACAATTGAGGATTAAATTCATGATTATTTTCACGTGGATGTGCTTGTATTTCTAAATGCAAACCAGCAATCCACGAGATTCTATTCCTTATTTCTGTCAAAAACAGGGTAAAGTCCTTTTTTATTAAGCTGGAGTTGCCACAGCGGATTAAACCACCAACTTATACAGCATTTGTTATCCAATGGATGCCCTTCCAGCTGCAGCCCATCACTGGGAAACATCCATACAGACATTTACTATGGTCCATTACCATACTCAATTCACCTATAGCACATGTCTTTGGCCTGTGGGGAAAACCTGAACACCCGGAGGAAACAAACACAAACAAAGGGAGAACATGTAAACTTCACACAGAAATGCCAACTGACCTAGCCAAGGCTCGAACCAGCGACCTTCTTGCTGTGAGGCAAATGTGCTACCCACTCCGCCACTGCGGCACCCTATTAATATATTATTTATGTATTTTCATATTCAACTTTTTACTTATGCATTATTTATTAATGTAGGCTATTTATTTCAGGTCAGGTCAGCTGTATTGTTGACGAGAACTAATTTTGTCTTTCCGAACTGGTTTAACTATTTAAGCTTTACTTAGTTCTTATTACAGCTGAAAAATTATTAAATAATAAAGTTACTTTAATAACTTATTAAAGTATTAAAGGCTTAGTCATTTTATTAATCTGGGGTTGCCACAGCGAAATGAACCTCCAACTTATCAGTTACGTTTTTACGCAGCGGATGCCCTACCAGCCGCAACCCATCACTGGGAAACATCCATTCACACTCATTCTCACTCATACACTATGGACAATTTAGCCTACCCAATTCACTTGTACCACATGTCTTTGGACTTGTGGGGGAAACCAGAGCACCTGAATAAAACCCACGCGAACACAGGGAGAACATGCAAACTTCACACAGAAATGCCAACTGACCCAGCTGAGACTCGAACTAGTGACCTTCTTGCTGTGAGGCGACAGCACTACCTACTACCTCTAATAGTGGAGTGTAGCCACTGCACACTGGCTTTTGCTTTTTAAATACAATCAAACATAGAAAAGTAAAGCTTGAAGATTTGCTACATTTTCTGCTTAATAACTGTCCGAATAATTTGGACATTTAAAACACCATTGTTTTTGTTAGCTAGCAGCTTCAAAAATGAAGAATTAAAAAATCTTTATTAAAGTCACCACCTTTGCACCTTTGTAAACCACTGCTTGCAGCTGGATATTATTGTGGGAGCTTAGAGTTTGATCACACCTAATGTATTCTTAAGCCTGGTTTATTCTTCTGCATCGAGTGACCCACAGTGCATGCCTTGCCCGTTGCCGTGCATTTATACTTCTTTCCGCTGTTAATGTTGCTCTGTAATAACACGTCCGAAACGCTAGCTGATAGTGAGGTGTTTATGTTTCTCTGTGCCAAGTTTCTACTGGTGCTTTGTTTTTCTGAATGCTACCGTAATTTATAAGACTCTCACCTCCACCCCTACTCGTCAGAGCTACCAAGCTGACCAATTACAGAGTTTGCACTACGCGTCGGTGTTGTCGATTGCCGACAGTGAGGGCTATGCGTCCACTCGTAGGCTGCGCCAGCATATGCATGCGCCTGACGCAGAACTATAAATCAGCCTTTAGTTGAGAGGGGCCTTTAAAAGGTGCTTTTTTCTATCAGTTTCTGTTGTGCACTGCATGTGTGCTGTGTCTTGTGTTTTCGCTGTTTAAAAACATGCACGCATCATTTACTACTGGTGTATACAAACCACGACTTTTGAAAAAACTAACTTAAGCACAGACGTGCTATGTAAGCTTCGCCTGTAAAACTGGGAAAAGATCAAATATTTCATATGATTAGATTAAGTTTATTAATCTCTAAATGTAAAGTAACTCTAAAGTGTTAGATTATGTCTTTGACATAATCATTACAGCTAAAATTAATCTTGTGCTTATCTCTCCTCATCGTAATTTTCCCCCTCCTTTTTTCTGAGCCTGAAAAGTAGATTTGCTCAACCTTCACAGTCCAATTTCCAAAATAAATCAGGTATGGGGCAGACAAGCAAAGGCCATGGCTGTGTCAGTGCATGAATTGCCATTATTGAGTAACCGGAATTCCTAGGTTATCATAAAATGATGATTCTTTTCTTTTTTTTGTGTGAATATATATAAATATTCATGTGCTAAAGCACTGTCAATGAAGATAATTTGTACAATACAAATAAAAATGATTTCAGCAAGCAAACAGCTCGGACTACTAACGGGTTATGGGGGTCCCCTATTGGCCCTCATAGTTTAGATATAATTTAATATCTAAAATATTGTGTCTTTAATAACTTTAATGTTTGTTTCAATCATGTATGGCCTAAATGCAAGTAAATTAAAAACAAATTCCTCTTTAAGTCCATGTATGGATGCACTCTGGTTTGTAGCAGCACTGAGCAATTTTAATTCATTAGACCAGAATTGCAGTATCATTGTGTTAGTAAAGTAGCACAGAAAAGCTTTTGTTTTTACTTACAGTTGTTCTCCAACAAGGGAGGAGTTCCGAGAGGTGGATTTGGGTGAGAGGTCATAGTCACTGTCCGAGCGGTAAAGGAAAGACTCACGCCGCTGACTGTGACTGGCCATGCTGGGATGCAGGATTAAGCCAGAAGCTGGTGACACTTGTAGATCCAGTGGACTGCAGCCAATAGATGGTCCATTCTCCACTTCCAAACTATACAAAATGAAACATAGAGTCTACATGGTAATTACATCAATAAAACAAAAACAGTTCTGGCTCTGCAAATGGAAAACAATTGCTGTTCTGCATTGAAAAATAAATAGATACAAATTGAATGACTCTTTGCTTTTTAGATACTACATTTCATGCACTGTGTAATAAAAAGGCACCAGTCACTGTTTTCACTATAGCAATAATAACAAAGGTTGTTGAAATTAAAATTGAGTTTATTTTATGTCCAAATCTGAAGAATAGTGAGATTATCTGACTTGTAGAGCCCCTATTAATGTATTATCAACACAAAGAAGACACAATTGTAAAACATGAGCATTTTTTCCAAGGGTCACGAAACACCAAAACACATTTTTGGAGCTGTTGTGTATGTATATGTGTACCACTCTGGTAAAACATTATTAGGACACATATATTACACACAAAAAAGTAAAAATAGGTTGTTTTTGTGTTCTTTTGGCAAATTCGTTCTTCCAGTTTGAAATGAATTTTTGAAGTTGCGTCACTGGGATCCTTGCATGTATTCCAGTTTGTAGACTGGCTGTCTGTACCTGGGAGGGCTTTGTGACGTCTCTGAGTGTGCTGCATTCATTCATGAGAAAGACTTGGTTCAAACCAATCAGAGCACTCTATTGTGTATGCGGTGCAACTTTATTTATATGCATGATAGCTTCAAAGACTATGTTACCTGAAACAGTGGTTAGACAGCAGAGAAACGTCATGTTGTGTTGCCAAAACAAGTGGGAGAAGAATTGTTTGGAGATATGGGTCGTCAGTGTTGCTTTTATAATTTGTTGCAACAAAGGTTTTGTTTTCATTTTCTAGCTATGAGAGCACAGCTGGACTCACGTGTGGATTACAGTGCACACAACAGAAATATGTTTGTATGGAACATTTTTCACTTGAAAGCTTTTCTCATCTGGAAATCTTGAAATACGGATTTGCTGCTCGTCTCCTTTATGCAGAGTGTCAGGGTTTATTTTGCAGCGTCCCGTTAAGCTGTCAGGAGAGGTGGTGTTTTGGTGGTGATTGACAGGGTGCGCGCGCGCGCGCGCGCGCGACGTGTCTGAGGAGAGATGCCGTGGGGAGGGGTGAGAAGGGTGCGCGACGATGCCTATTTGAGAACCGGGAGGGAGACGTGAGATTACCGGGAGATCATCACTCGTTTGCGGGCATCCGGAGACTCGCGAAACTTCCTGCCATACTCATAATTCTTTCTTCATATAGCCGTATGCCTATTACATATCCATAAAACACTGTGATATAACCGCGCTCGGATCGGATCGCTTTCTCACTGCAATCGAACCGCTCCAGGGTTCTTTTCAATTGAGCTGAGACCACCTCATTCAAGCGATTACTTTGGCGCGGAACAGAGCGCGATTGCCCTGTTCACATATGCCAAACAAACCACGCTAACTGGGCAAACAAGACACGTTTCGAAACAAAAGTGTAGGTGTGAAAGCATCCTAAAAAAGACGCGGCTCTAGTTGGTGTTGATTGTCCTGTCTCAACAGATTTGGCAAGTGTGTGCGATCAGTGCCCTTTCTTTGTTCATTCAGATGGCAAAGTTAGTTTGTATCGTCAGTAGTATTCTTTCAGTGTTTAAAGACAGACCTTAGTCAAATGATTTCTAAGTTACTTGTTTTACAGTACATTAATATCACTACAATATTATGGACTGAAAGATCCAATTTTCGCTGCATTTTGTGACAGGATAGTCTAGACACACAGCTTTCTGACCTTTCTGTGCATCTGAGTTACTGAGAAATGCAAAGGTTTTTTCTCTTTTACGACGTACGGTATCAAACATTCCACTGTCACCAAAGACAGTGACTGTCTTTCTCCCCTGTGTCTGTGTGTTTGTTTTGCCTTGGTGAAAATCAGCCAAAGTGGAAACTCCCATTTTAATTCAAATCCTTACCTCTTTCCCTCCCCCGACACTCCCACCTAAACAGCGCTAGACACACCAACTTTCCTGACTTTTTCCAAACTAGAGGTGTAAAAACACCTTGCTGAAACAGGGGGGTTTCATGTTCCTTTAACAACAAAAATAAGCAGACTAAAGGAAACTAAAATTACTAAATGTACAATTATTGAGATGCATAGGCATGAAGCATGAAAGTGATTCAGGGTGCTTTTACATCTGTAGTTTGCTTCATTTGGTCCAGACCAAGGGCAATAAATGATACATTGTAGCATTTTCAGCCGTCTTTGGGTTGTTTTCACACCACACTGCTGGCTTTGGTTCAACCAGATGAAAAGAACCAAAATGCGGCCGTCTGACAAAATTCACATCACTTATTTGCCAGATATTGTTGAACATATTTCCTGAACTGCTTTTCGACTGGTCAGAATTCACATGCAGGAAAATGCCAATGGAACTTCTGCAAGTAAACAAACTGTTTTTACTATGGATCTACGACCGTGCTGGCTGATTGTATCCCTGCTCATAGTATACTATATAGTTTGTATACATCACATTAGACAAGCTATACATTTTAAGAATGAGGCGATTCTACAGTTGGAAAACAATGTCTTAAAGAGCCCATATTATACATGAAATAGGGTCATATCTTGGTTGTAAGGGTCTCCAACAACAGTCTAATATGCATGCAAGGTCAAAAAACACTTTCATGGTCTTATAATCTACATTTATTTTTACCTAAATTTTCCAGCGACTCCCATATGAATCGTCCAGTGATTCATTTGTTCCCAAACCCCTCCTTAGCGCGAAGCTAATCTGCACTGATTGGACCGATGACAGTCTGTTGCGATTGGTCGACTGCCTTCAGTCAGAGAGTGAAATGCCCAACAGCTAATCAGCAATATAAAAGAAATCACAGTTCATACACGCTCAATACTGTAGGCGTGGATTTTAGCTGCCAGTGGGTCAATGTAAATACAGACTATAGACTTGAAAATACAGACGACTAACTATTTTATTGAGCAAAAACTCCAAAAACTGTCGAGGAGATCTCCTAGCTTGTCTCACTCTGCTCTTTTCACAGACACAGACACACACACACACACACACACACACACACACACACACACATTGCCCTAGTCCTTGCGTGCGCACACACACACACACACACAAAAACACACACACACCTCCGGACGACAACGAGCACCCACACACACACAAACAACACACATACCTCCGGACGACAGCGCACACACACACACACACTACCCTTGTCCACGGAGCTGCAGTGTGACTTTAATCGACTGGCATGTTTGTGTGTGTGTGTGTCTGGGTATCTGTGTCAGAGGGCGGGGCCACAGGTTTGAAATCTCCCTGGTTTGCGCGTTCACGTGAATAACTTGGTTTTGTTCGTACGTCATGGCGAAACACCTAATGACTCGGTATCAAGGCGACTCGTTTGAAGCACTATGAGTCGACTCTTTTATAGATGAATCAACCGTTTTAAACACTGTACTCTTACAGATTTAAAGAGCATATTGTAGGTTAGACACCCCAGTGAGACAATGTGTGTAAGAGTAAAGTAAGAACTAGATTTTTTTTTAAATAAACGTTAAAGTTTATTATTAAGTCGTTTGCAGTCGTTTTAAGTCACGGAAATTTACTTCCGCATTTGAAATATCGCCAGACCGGAAGTGACATCGGATCAGGGAGTTCGCGCATATAAACACTATGAAGACAACTGATCGCGGTGCGCGTTTGGATGCCGAGATAAGATATTCTGAGAGACTCACACAAACGACAGACCACAGCCATACAATTATAAGCCTGTGGACAGACCAGCAGACAGAACAGCAGTCAGAGAAGTGTAATTTAACTCTATTGTGAGGGAGAACAGAGCAGGTTTATGGAGAGACCAGTGTTGGCTTACAGAGAGATATGTAAGATAACAAAATCTTATCTGGCCACAGCAAAGCTAGTATTGATCATCTATAAGTATTAATACTTACCAGTAACAGAAACTAATGAGCATTTAACACAGTTATGCCACATTGACCCTATTTTTAATAGTAGATAAGTGAATACAAAACACAAATAACACAGAACGTCTGGAATAATGCAGAAACATGTAAACAAGGTACTGGAAAATCTTTTTTATTTTACAAAAGGTTTTCAGAGCTTCTGTATTAAAATAAAAACAACATTAAATATTAAAACAATTAAAATAAGTTTTTAAACATGTCTTTTTGTCATTTTTTCATTGGGTATAAGATGATCTGTATCAGATCCCATTTAAGCAACAATCCATAAAAATACAAGTATAGTTGTTACAGTATAAATTATTTACAAAGATTTGATCAACAGATCTGATCTGCATTTATGATAAAATAAACTTCAACCCTAATTCAAGTTCAAATTCTAAATGCAACTCAAGTTCAAGTTTTATTTATATAGCACAAAATCATAAGCAGTGTTAATACCCAGCATTTTTACTCTTTATATATGTATAAGTATCTGTGTGAGTGTGAGTATACTGAAAGGAAAATATATCATCTGACCCATTTAAAAGTAAACCTAAAATTATTTTTCAGTAAGTTGGCCAACGTTTATGTGGGTGCCACACCATTATGTCTTTAATGTGTGTTAAATTGTGAATGCTGTGTAAAAAGATGCCGACAGCCTCATCGTTGGAAACCCGCTAGAAGGATCTAGAAAGAAGAGCAAATGTAGTGGCCACTTCTGCATTCTCGTCGAGCTTGTGATGAACTCCAGTAGTCCACCGTCAGACACGCAGTGAGGGCTGATGCATATATTCTGGGGAAATAATGCAAAAGTTTAAATCATGTTTATGAATAATGTATATTTTAAAATTCACCATATGATTTTTAATAATACACAATACAGAAAACCCAACCACATTTGCAGACCCCTGGATAGTGAACTGCAAACCATCTCACATATACAGTAGACTGTACCTATTATAAGTTGAGCATGTGAGAACAAACTTCAATTTTTTGAATGTTATTTGTTTTTCTTCTACAAGATGAATATTCCTTATATGTGAATAAAAAGTGCCTTTCCTCATTGACAGGACAGAATATTTTTACTCTCCCTCAAGTGGTTTCAAACCTTATTGACTTTCTTCTGTTGATCACAAACCAAGATATTTTGAAGAAAGCTAAAAATCTGTAACCATTGACTTCTATAGTGGGAAAAACAGATATGGAAGTCAATGGTTACACGTTTCCAATATTAAAAAAAAAAAGGAAGTCAAAGATAGTGTGAGTTTACCTGCCTGCATTATATAGAAATATTGTAGTAATTCTTTGCCCTTCTAGTTTTTGTTATCAAACAATACCATGCACAAATAATTCACGATAGGGGTCATAATATTTTACCCGATGAACGAGGTAAATGTATGAGGTAAAATTGGTTTTATATTCACACATTCTGACTTTCTCCCTTATAATATAATTTCAGAAGAGTATTATTTGCTAATCCCTAATATCATGTTAGCAGCCAATGACTATCAAAGTACAACATTGTTCACTGTCAGTTTAATAGTGCTAATGTTGTTTTTAAGTCATATTTACGTGTGATTTCAGTCATTATAATAAAAGTACTATGGTAAACAATACAGAGGGTGTGTCACACAAGCTGTCACTAATCGAATGTGCAAATATAAAATCCACTTTACCTTAGTTGAGGTTACTCTGTGAGTCAAAGTGAAGCACAGTTGAGCGAGAGGCCAGTGGAGAGAAAGCCTTCAGCTCCGGGTCATCATCTCTGTCTCCCAAAGTCTAATAAACACACTACAAAGCAAACAAAGTCACAACGCTGTAACTATACAAGACATTTATTATATTAGCAAACTGATGCTACTAGCCATCTTATCATATGTGTACATTTTTACACGCTTTAAAAAAGTATATTTAATAAGCTTAACAATACAAGCTAGCAGCCGTGCTATCGGCTACTCCAAAGTAAACACATCACGTTGCTTCAAATTACTCAAATAATAATGCTTACGGACTTGAAAGTTGACAAACATAAACGAAAAACGAGTTGTCTTACCGTGCACAGCCATCGAGCTGCATCTCCGACTGATCCAGGAGTGTTTCTCGCCGTTCGCGTCAGCTATCACTCTTATCGGATTCATCCCATTTCACGAACCAAAATAGCAAGAGGAAACTTGTGGACTTGTCAACCAGTTCTGCTATTAGCTCCTCTGCCCCACTGTAAACAGCGCGCGTCTGTCAGATAACTCACTCTTCTGACGTCACCGGGGTGGTTAGAAAAAAAGAGGAAGTGGGAAAACAGACACATTTTCTTTAAAATTTGTGCCCTTGCACTTCGTAAAACATTTTAATATGGTATTTTATGGTATTATAGAGTATTTTCACAAACGATTCTACCTTTTTTTTAAACTGTTTTTTAACCTACAATATGCTCTTTAAGCCTTAGCTGGATACTTCACTTCACTTATAGCTGTGTTACACACTACATGGAGGGGAATTTTCAAAAACCCATAATATGGGCTCTTTAATGCATCACACGTCACTTCAGGAGGAGGCATGAAATAATTTAGCTAAACTGTGACATGGTCATCTTGCGGAAATATTAACTATCAGGGCTTGATATTAATGTTTTTGATCACCAGCCAGTGTGGCTAGTATTTTACCAATATCACTAGCCACTCTGTATTTTCACCAGCTACAATTTTGTTGTTGGAAAAATATATTTTATATGCATAAATAGGACTTTGACATGCTAAAATTACTTGATTTAGATTTTGGGGGATATACACATGCCTCCTAATTCATTTTACATTTGTGTATAAGCTTGCTTAGTAAGCATGCACAAACAAACCACTTCAGGGTTCGTTTGAAAGTGCACCGAGACCAACTCTTAAAGGAGGTCTCGGTACGCTTTTTTGGTACGCTTTTGGTGCGCACTTGAATACGATTGCTACATTCACACCTGCCCAAACCGCACCAAGCAGGAAAACAAACTCTAGTGCTATTCAACCGAACTAAATAACGCATGTGTTAAAAGAACCATAAGTTAAGGATTGACAGGCTAGGGTATAATAAAGTAAACCTTATTCTAAAATAATAACCAAGAGAAAAAAGTTTTTGTTATTAATGAATATCAGACACAAACATCTATTTAGAATTAGAATATCTTATACTAAAACACCCTATGTGTATAGTGATATGTTTATGCTTCTGCTGTTAATGCAGTGGTTGGAAGACGTTGAATCTTCCTGCAGGTCTTAATGCCTAGAGCATGCAAATGTGGGCCTTTGAGCTTTCAGAAGAGTAAATCTGACTAATCTGGAACACGCAGAATGCAGATTTCTGGAGGTTGTGGTCCTAAAGCTTTGTTTCAGCAGCCTTGAAATACTGGGAATCCAAACACCATGAAAATCCTTGCTGGGTCATGCAGCAAAGTTTTTAAATTCTTTTAGCAATTCACATAACCCGCGATGCATAGAGAATCCTTTAGAGAGAATAAAACTAAAGATCTTTTGGGAGGCACTTTTATGGTTGTTGCATTAGTTGCTCACCTTCCCAAGTTCATTCACTTACACACACACACACACACACACACGCACATACTTGCATTTGCTACCAAGTAGGGACACATGACAACATGCAGCCTGGTGGGAACCACCCTTTCTGAGTGGTCTACAGACAAAGTAAAAACTGATCCACACTCCATTTTAAGCTGTTATACTAAATATCACTTGAAAACTTTAGTTTAAGCCCCAGAAGACTGACCTGACATTTTACCAACTGCTGGGGACCTGGACAGGTTGAACAGCCTACTGGGGACCTCTGACGTAATGCATTGATATGCTAATTTATGACTAATTTATGCGAGTGTGTGTGTTTTAAAGGTTACCAGTGGGGACCTCACATCAAACATACAAGCAACACACGAAGTAAATCAGAAATCGTTCACATAACTGTTTGAGGAAGGCTGCCAAATCATCAGCCAGTTGGTCATTCTTACCTCACAGCAAGCGGTGCTTGTGATAACACCAATTCTGTCTGTTTTGACTTCAGTAATGCGCTACTGTATTGCAAAAGCGTTAAAATTCAAATGAATTTCATTCCAATAAACTTCTTTGGCAAAAATCATTTGCCCTGAACTTTATTTCACATTTCATTTAGGCAAACATTTCCGCTGTAGTACAACATTTGGAAATCTCATTGTACAAATAGTTTTTTTTTTTTACAGGGTATATGCAGGATTCCTAAAGGAAATTTCAATACCTTTTTAAGACTTTAAGACCTTCTCAGAATATTTTAAGACCTCATCGCCACTGCAAGTTCTAATCAGTATCAGTAACCTTTAACGTAATAAACAGTTGTTAGTAAAAAGTTGTAGTTAAATAAATGAATGGAGCACAACCCTGCAACAGAACTTAGATAAGCTTAGAAGAAACAAAGCTTTAAAGAAAAAATTACGTTATTGTTTTTAGCGACAGGCTTCAGCCACTGTTTAAACTTGATTTTCTTTAACCAGGAGTATGCAAACTTGCATTTTCCCATTTTGCCGTCTGTTTTGCTCTATGACAGGGCTATTCAATTAGTTTGTCATGGGGGCCAGTTCATGAAAAGCATCCCAATTGAGGGGCCGGTGAGATATGACTTGCAATATGAGTGATGCCACAACAGCATATAAGAGCCAATATGCTGCATTTTTTCTCCTTAAGACGCCCATGTTGTGTTTTTCTACATTAAAATGTTAATATATTGTATTTTGAAACTACATAACATCACTGTAGACTTTATTTTCACAAACAGATTCAAATGTTGTATTTCAGAGCACAACAAAAGCAGTACATTTCTTAAGTTGGCTTCTTCTACATTCAGACACTTTTACATGTTGTGTTTTGAACTGCATAACAATTACCGTACGTTCACACCGAAAGCGGCGAGAGCATCCAAGGTCGCTCTGGCCGCCCTGGCGACAATGCTGTCTGCCTTCAGCTCCTGCGGCGAGAGCGTCAAAACTCGCTACATTGATCTCATATTTAAAGGAGCCGTTGCAGCATATCAGTTACATTCCTGCATAAAACATGTTTCTAGCGTGAAAATGTTGCGCACTTCTTATCAAATTCATACAACAATGGAAGATCAAGTTGCGTATGGTGTGGCTTTGCTCTATTTATCCAATATGTGTCCATATGTCTGAAATATCCTGAAGCAGCAGTACTGTTTTGTACTGTCACATCGCGTGAGATTCCCGCTTTTTTAAGATAAATTTATATATCATTAATGAACATCAGTAACTCGCCAGTAACTTATTTAATGTATGGTCCTGTAGGAAAAAATGTTAAATAATTGGAAATCCGGCGACCGCAATAATCAAACCCTTGGGAACAACTGTGGTCGGAACCAAAGTTCACTGGTCTGTGTTCTCTGAACTGCTATCAAGCGATGGACGTCTTCATTCTGATTGCTTGCCGCCGAACCGCGTCATAGCTCATTACCATAAAGTTGACTTCATTTCAACTCTCCTCGACGCTCACGCCGGCGAAGACGCGCCGCGCTGCTCCTCGCCGCCGGCTCTCATTGAAAATGAATGACTTAAGGCTACTTTGACGCTCTCGCCGCTTTCGGTGTGAACGTACGGTTAGGGATGCAACAATTATAGATTTTTGTTGTACGATTATATAGTCAGAAGAATAATCATGGTTTCATGGTTATCACGTCTAACGTAAATTTAAGCTTTAAATTAGGTGAGTTTTTAAATGAACTGTTCTTTTTATCTGCATTCATACATACATAATCATCACAGTTGGCATAACTTTGTTTAGTTGCAGCAGTTTCATTCCATGCAACAGAAACGCGGCGTTGAGAAGCTTTTAAGATTAGGTATCCAAATGTTTTCGACTGCTCGTGCCACACGCTTAATTTTAGGTGACTCTTTCTCTGCGCAGCCTTCAACTGCAGTTCGTGCTGTATTGAACAGACGCACATCACTTCATAACTATAGCGGCTGTTTTTCGACTGAAATAAATTTGTTTTTGATGTCTTGGTCACACTATTTAGAGGGCCGGAACAAATTGCCTCGCGGGCCAATTTTTATGTAAATTAAAAATATATGTACATTTTTTATGTGAAGTTTGACAGATTCCCACGTTCTGTACTTTAGTATTCGAGGCGCTGACCTGATGCTGTCTTCACACTTCTTTTTACTAGGTACCGTGCCAGAAGTGATGCAGTCCAAAAGTTCCACTGCCTTTACCTCCTCTTCAGACTTTCCACTTTCTTTTTTTGGTGTATCTTGAGGCACCTAAAAAATAAAAATAATTTTACTTCAGCTTTTACGACAAACAATCTTTAGACACACAGCTTTTTAATGTACATTAGAACTTCTGTATTCAATATAAGGTAGAGGAGTACCAGACCATTACCATTGAGACCTACAAGGTTTTAAAACCCATCAAACATCTTTATTTAAACAGACTGCATTCAGTGTAGCTGCAGGCATGGTCACCAAAACCTGTGATTGTATATAGGGGTGTGAACCTACAGTGGTCTCGCAGTTCGGTTTGGTTAAGATATAATGCCATTGAGTCAGTTCAATACAATATCTAGGAGTATTGACGATGCCTTTCATTAACAATTTAATGTTTTACTTAGCAACAATAATTCTTGTATTAAAATTTATAATTCATATATATATATATATATATATATATATATATATATATATATATATATATATATTATTTGTAATACAATTTTGTCCTTTATTACAAGCAGTCAAAAATATGTACTGTAGCTTTAATTTTACCTGCTTAAAGAAAACTCTTTTTGAATGCATCAAACCACTCAAGTACATGCACAGAACAAAATGAGCATTTAAAGCAAATAAACTAATGTAAATATAATCTCGCTTGCTTTTTTAAGCGTTGTTAAACGCGTTCTTAAACACTATGATTGATCACGCGCTTAACAAAAAGGCTGCGATTGGCTCTAATGGTCAGCGTGGCTCTGTCGCTGTGCAGCAAGCAGTGACAAGGACACTGATGTTAAACGACCGAGCAATCAGCTGATCCATTAGACGGCGACGAGGTGGATCCACAAGTAACTTTATTGTTGTAACAGCCGAGAGAGGAGATAAAATGTTACCTCACGAACACGCCAGCAGGTCAAACGGGACTCCGAAAGTGAGAGAGTTTTAACTTTAATTTTTTCCTAGTTGGGTTCTGATGTGGGCTATATCCCTGTCAGTGAAAGACTGTCCAGCAAACTAACAAGCAGTAAATTGTGCATTTTAAGTACTCGCAGTCTCCTCCTTGCCATAGTAAGCTACCGCCATATAACGCATATGAGATGAATTAAGTCAGTACATAATAACCGTTTCTGAATATTACTGATCCTCAATAATGCGAGATGTGTCTTATATAATGCAAGATGTTTTATGATGTAATTTTGATTCAATACGCAAGCATCCCCACCCAAAGAAAATTTTTTTATGTTTTTTTAATAAGTCTAGTAAGATCGAAAAAAGCAACAATTGCTTATTTAATATCATCATTTAATGACTAAATGCAATGACTAAAATACGGCGCTTTATTCAAAGAATGTGAACTGACGAATAAGCTGATGCAATGCATAATGATTCTGGCATAATGATCACCGCTATCTAAGCTAAGCATTCATTTTATATACAGACTGTATGTTAAAATGTAAGTTATTTTAAGTAATAGAACACTATATTAAAAAAATAAAAACTCTTATATAGTAGCCTATGCTCAATAAATGCGCCTCGTCATGGCTGAATCAGCGCACGTGCATCTGTTTAAAGCTTCTGTAAAGAACAGAATTATGACAGATGACAGAATTTCAATAAACACTTGATGTCTGCTGTCAAAACTGCAACATTATTTAAAAGCATTCATTACGACATTGATAGCATCTGTTATTGTCAAGCTTCTTCCTATTTAATGAGATTATTAAATTATTAAAATTATTTTAAAGATTATGTCTTGATATTTGGTTTCCTCTCTTACTCGCGGTTTAAGTGCGCGCTGCATGATAAAAAGACAATGACAACACGCGCATATGTTGACTTTTTGTAAACAGTTTTTTGTTTAAATATGATATTGCATTAATGTGCATAGATGCTTTGTAAGCTGTAAAATGAAAGCTAAAGCCTATTTGTTGTGTTTATGACGCAGATCCAGGAGGAGATCAGCATCAGCGCTGGTTTGGCAACTCGTCTGTATCAAACAGCAATATTCTTCTTCCATTTTACTTCTTTGGCAAATGTCAGTAGGCACGTGTGGTCATATGTTATCATCCCGCGAGTTAACAAATATGTCTGATCACAGCAAACGTGATTTTCCATTCCAAAAATGTGAGGCGCACCTCGCTCCTTTTGACAAGGAAAAAAAGGCGAGGTCCTCTTTTTTTTATGTCACTATGAAACGACTGAATCAGCTGCGTATTGATTGTGCAAGAGTGTTGCTGTCTATGTTGTTACAATTGTAATATTTAATACTACTGTGATATTCAAGATTTGTAAATTCATACAGCTTTGGATAACTTGAAACAGCGAGCACTATAGTCTCTCCTGTCTTTAAAAGTTCTCTGTAGTTGTCTTGACAACAAAAACTGCTGCTCTTGGATGAGCCGCTTGCAAAACAACTGCTGCTTTTAGTAAACCATTCAAAATATGCCCCTATTAACGCAAAAAACGCATTCAATCAGCCCCTTATGCAGCCAAACTAAAAATATATAAAATAATATTTTTAATCGTTTAACTGAAACCATTAATCGGTTACAAACGCACCCTTTGGGTTACCGATTAATCGATTATTTTGAGCATCCCTTTGCTACATATTTAAACGTTTTACATAAGAAAACACTCCCTGGCCTGAACTTGCCACGTGTGAGATGGAGAAAATGAAAGCACACAAAACCGAGGAAAAATCAGATGCTTAAGACATAATCTTTAAAATATTGATATGCATTAAAAATGTAGCAAATATATGACAAGAGGTTGGTGATACAACAATTACGTGGAGCATTAATTAAATGCTTATTTACCATAGAGCGAAACAAATCATCCAAGTGCACAGCTGTGTAGCACACTGGCACAAACATAAATAGCGGCCAGCCTTGTTTGGCCCGCCAAATACCTTGGGCCAAAGAGGGCCAGCTGAGGCTTTGGGGCGGAGTGAATGGAGAGGCAGACTTTTTCTGAGTCTGGTAAAGATTATTACAGAGATAAATTGTTTGTGTCTATCTAAATGAGGATGTTATAAAATACATTTTATACCAATTACCGGAGAATTTCTATGGTTTTATATTATGGGTTGTGCGCTGAGTCATTCCTCTGTTAGTGGCGAGACCACTCGATGTACAATGCCAACAGTTGTGTAACGGTTGATTTGTGGGACATTCCGGGGACGGGGTTTGTGTGACGCGCTGCGAGCTACTAGCCTGACAGCGAAATTGCGACAAGTTTTCAGCCTCACTGCTCAACCTTCTGGACGATTGGCCCGGCCTGGCCCGTTAAAAGCCCTGGCTCACACTGGCCCGATCGTGGAAATGCGGCTATTGCCATATACTTACATAATAGTTCACTAAAAAAATAAAATGAATAAATAAATAAAATTTAAAAAATTAATAAAAAATGGTCAATAGTTATAGGTTTCCAATATTCTTCAACATATCTTTTTTTTTGTTTAATAGAAGAAAAGCGCATGTGTAAGTGCTTTGAGTGCCCAGAAAAGCGCTATTTAATGTAAGGAATTATTATTATTATTATTATTAAAAGACAAACAAAATTGAAACAAGTGAAGGGAGGGTAAATAATTGGAAGAATGTTTTAGGTTTTGGTGAGCTATCCCTAATGTCTAAGCTTTGATAAATGGAGTTGTGTTAAAATGTTTATAGCATGGATAACAAATCAGACAGTTAACGAACAATCTCAGAAATACAAAAATCCGGTTTCGATTTCGGCTTCTAATGAATATGAAAAACATTAATCGAGATAAACGATTATTTCATCATAAACTGCCCCCTTTCCAGTTGTACATATTTTTTGCTCTGCAAAGAATGACTAAAAGCATGTGCTGTAATGTAATGTTTGCAGCACGGAATGCGCATTATACATTGATTTACATTCGAATCATTTATGTTTTTAAATGCGGGAAAGAGCGCATGCTGTCTTGTGTGTGCTCGCTTAGCCTCGGAGATGAGCAGAGCACACACATCTAACGCCATCTTAATGAGAGCACTTTAATGGTCAAATACATGGACATTTGTGTCAGAGCGCGGTGTTTAGTGATTATTCATATTAACCCTCATTTGTGTAATAAACAAACAAGCTGAGAATTAAAAGACATATGAAAGAAAAACCATATCAGAGCCGCACTGCTCTTCAAGAGACAGTGCGCAATATCCCTGCTGCTGACTTTTTTTTTCATTATTAATCAAACAACAAAAGGAGAAAATCCCTCACTTCTCTTGACTGAAGGACTTTTGTAGCTGAAGTTTTTTATCTTACAGTGCAGATGCTTAAAGCACAGTTTGCTTCATATTTTTATTCTATTGTATTTATTTCCCTTTCCTTATTTACAGGGAAGAAAATAACTGTGTATATATACAGTTGATGTCAGAATTATTTGCCCTCCTGAATTATTAGCGACCCTTTCCCACCCCGATTTCTGTTTAATGGAAAGATTTTTTTTCAACCCATTTTTAAACATAACAGATTTTATAACTCATCTCTAATGACTGATTTATTTTATTTTTGCTATGATAGTCCATAATATTTGACTAGATATTTTTCAAGATACTAGTATTCAGCTTAAAGTGACATTCAAAGGCTTAATTAGGGTAATTAGGCAAGTCATTGTTTAACAGTAGTTTCTTCTGCAGACATTCAAAAATATAAATTGCTTAAGGGGCTAATAATATCGAGCTATTAAAATAGGTTCCAAATATTTAAACGTGCTTTTATTCTAGCTAAAATAAAACAAATAATCCTTTCTCCAGAAGAAAAAATATTATAGGAAATACTGTGAAAAATTCCTCTGTTAAACATAATTTGGGAAATATTTATATATATATAAAAATTATTCGCAGGAGGGCAAATAATTTTGACTTCAACTGATAATCGTTTTAAATAATCGTGATTACAATTATGACCAAAATAATCGTAATTATGATTTTTCCCATGATTGAGCAGCCCTACTGGAACTGTACACTAAATGTAGTCTTTAGACAAAATGATCATCACACACACACGAGTGAGAAACTTACAAATACACTCTCAGTCCTTCTTCGCTCTGGGACATCACAGGCTCTTGGTCATGTAGAACTGGGTAATTCTAGGATTACAGTGTCTGCGTCACTATCCATGTCCTGGACAAAAGATTCATATGTCAGTTTTTTATTATTATTAATAATAATAACAACAATAGTACAATTAATATTTGACATGAAAATGACTTGTAAAACTTGTCATAAAATTAACGACTCATGATGTGAACAATTTAACTGCAATATTATACAAACTAATGTATTTATTTAAGATAATGAAATAAAAACATAAAAATGAATAACATATACATTATAAACAAATAAGAATTACCTTCTGTATAGCTGAATGTCTCTCTTCGTTTAATCTGTATGGAAGCAAAGTAAAGGTAATTTCAATAAATGTACACATACTGAACTTAGCATTAGGCCACGTGTGATATACAACTAGAAGCGGCTAACGTTAGTATTAAATAAAGTAACTTACTCTAACGTTAACAAAACATGCTTATACTGTCTTTTGGAGCACGAATCTCACTGAAGAAATAAACAGTTAATATCACGCCGATTCTAACGCAGGCGTGAACTTGGGGTCAGCATTACTAACGTAACCTCCAAGTTTAAACATTTCCATTATGGATATGAGACATTGGTAACGTTAAATCTTTAAGCACATTAGTTTGTATTGTTTAACTAACTTACCTTAAAGTGTATGAAAAATGTTTACAACACACGTGCTCTTAGGTTAAGACCTTCACATAGTTATGTTAGCATAATGAAAGTTAATTACGACACAAATATGCTGGCTAACATTAACTTAGTTAACCTTAGTGAACAACTAACGTCAGCCTTGCTATAACAGTAGCCAAACCAATCTTAACAGCATGCTTAATCTGTTGAAGTGATCGGTCCATAAACAGAATTCTAAATTTACTATGATATTTATATAAAAAGTCTTACCTTTTTTTCCTCCATCATGCGTCCATCACTCGATGAAATCTCTGATGAGGTGCCGGCTGCGTCGCGCTCGCGGCAGTGTATTCTGCATTACCTGCAGCGCTCCAATTAGAAACTAAAATGGCGGCCGCGCGCGATTGCATCATCCAGTGGGGGAGGGGTGGTCGTGGTGGGGACTTTTTAAGTCAGGTCAACACACTGCTCGGGAATGTTTCGTTGTACTCATCAGGCCTTCGTTCTGACCATCTATTGTCAGTGTTTTGTTTAGACCTCTTACATTAAGTTGATTTATGTCTGATGCAAAACACAGAAATTAATGTTCATATGTGTCCATAATTCCTTTTTAACCATGGAAATAAAAACTAAAAATAATTATTTTGTATACAAATTTGTTTATTAGGCTTTATTTAAATATAGACTTTTTAATTTACTGATACATAAACCAAAATTATAAATAAACAGAGCAACTCTCCCACACCTTTGAGAGCCTTTATTCTGAACCCATGATAGTACATGACCATTTTAAAACTGAAACAGGCATTGCATAACATGGCATTGCATTAGTCTTATCAATGGTTTTGTTGGCTTATCTGTTTATGAAGTTGCATTGCGATTACATACAGTAATTTGGTGTATGCTGAATTTGGGTCTTAGTACTTTAAGCACATTTTCACATTAAGTGATCTTAAGAGTGTACATCACTGCAGGCATGTTGTCATGTAGACCTACAGTCTAATGGGGAGAGCGTTTCACTGAGTATTTCGCTTTTTAACAGAACAGAGGTGACAATCTAACTAATATGTTGGTTTAGATAAATTATTAGTTCAGTTTCACCTAAGATGTCTTGAGGGTGAATAAAAGTTGGTGTAATTTTAATTTCAAAGTGAACTAATCATTTAATTCCTACGTTTTGCTGAAAATAATATTTTGCTCTGTATTATACTGTATTTATTGTGGATAAAACAGTATAGACAAGCAGATCAGGCCTAATTAGAGCCTGTCATGCATAACACTTGATTTGGCTTAATGCAGTTAATATGATGAGTTACAATGATATTAAATTTTGAAAATGATATTACGATTTAATGTAGCCTTCACCTTGTTAATAAAAGCATATTATGCATTGACTAATGATGCAGACATGTTAAGCATTGTTCTACATTAAGCCATGTAAAGCATTTTAGGATATGTCCGAGTCATACAGCCATAACACAATACTTTCAAAGAGATTTGAGAAAACCATCAATAAATTAAAGGAAAAGGGCATGGAAATAAAACACCATAACAAAATAGTGTATATTGAATTCACGCTCTTCTAACATTCAAATGACTTTGATTACCTAATCATCAGCAAAAATAAGCAAATGTTGTCAATTTAGGCGTCAAGAGCTTTCACCTTCCCTGATGCTTTTATTCTAATTTAATACTTTTTTTGTTGAAAAAATACAGCATAGCAGTAGACAGTCAGAATATTTTGGCTAATAATTGTCAGTAAAAGATATACTGAAGTGTTGTATAAATTAAGTAGAGTTCAAGAAAACCACATAAATTATTTTCTACTGCTGTGGGCCTGGGCATGGAGCGGAGCTGGAGAAGGCCTGGGCGTGGAGCGAAGCTGAGGCGGGCCTAGGTGTGGAGGGGAGCTGAGGTGGGCCTGGGCGTGGAGCTGAGGCTGAGCTGAGGCAGACATGGACGTGGAGCTGAAGCTGAGCTGAGGTGGGCCTGGGCGTGGAGCTAAGGCTGAGCTGAGGCGGGTATGGAGCTGAGGTGAGCCTGGGCGTGGAGCTGAAGAAGGCCTGGGCATGGGGCTGAGCTGAGGGGCCTGAGGTGGGTCTGGGCGTGGAGCCAAGCCAAGGTGGTCCTGGGCATGAAGCTGAGCTGAAGCAGGCCTGAAGTGTAGCAGAGCACAAAGCTGAGGAGGGCCTAGACGTGCAGCTGAGCTGAGGCAGGCATGGGAGTGGAGCTGAAGCTGAGCTGAGGCGGGCCAGGGAGTGTAGGTCTGGGCATGGGCCTGAGGTGGGCCTGGGCATGGAGCCAAGCCGAGGTGGTCCTGGGCGTGAAGCAGAGCTGAGGTGGGCCTGGAGTGTAGCAGAGCACAGAGCTGAGGAGGGCCTAGGTGTGCAACTGATGCTAAGCTTAGGCAGGCATGCACGTGGAGCTGAAGCTGAGCTAAGGCGGGCCAGGGAGTGGAGCTGAGGCGACCCTGGGCATGGAGCTGAGGCAGCCTGGGTGTGGAGCTGAGGAGGGCCTGGGCATGGAGCTGAGGCTGAGCTGAGGTGGGCATGGAGCTGAGGTGAGCCTGGGCATGGAGCTGACATGAGCCTGGGCGTGGAGCTGAGGAGAGCCTGGGCGTGGAGCTGAGATGAGCCTGGGCGTGGAGATGAGATGAGCCTGGACGTGGAGCTGAGGAGAGCTGGGCCTGGAGATGAGATGAGCTTGGACGTGGAGCTGAGGAGAGCCTGGGCATGGGGCTGAGCAGAGCCTGGGCATGGGGCTGAGCTGAGGCGGGCCTGGGCATGGGCCTGAGGTGGGCCTGGGCATGGATCTGAGCCGAGGTGGTCCTGGGCGTGAAGCAGAGCTGAGGCGGGCCTGGAGTGTAGCAGAGCACAGAGCTGAGGAGGGCCTAGGTGTGCAACTGATGCTGAGCTGAGGCAGGCATGGACTAGGAGTTGAAGGCAGGCATGAGCGTGGAGCTGAAGCTGAGCTGAGGCGGGCCAGGGAGTGGAGCTGAGGCGAGCCTGGGCGTGGAGCTGAAGCAAGCCTGGGTGTGGAGCTGAGGAGGGCCAGGGCCTGGAGCTGAGGCTGAGCTGAGGCGAGCATGGAGCTGAAGTGAGCCTGGGCGTGGAGCTGAAGTGAGCCTGGGCGTGGAGCTGAGGAGAGCCTGGGCGTGGAGCTGAGATGAGCCTGGGCGTGGAGCTGAGGAGAGCCTGGGCACGGGGCTGAGCTGAGCCTGGGCGTGGAGTTGAGGAGAGCCTGGGTGTGGAGCTGAGGAGGGCCTGGGTGTGGAGCTGAGATGAGCCTGGGCGTGGAGTTGAGGATAGCCTGGGTGTGGAGCTGAGGAGGGCCAGGGCCTGGAGCTGAGGCTGAGCTGTGGCGAGCATGGAGCTGAGGTGAGCCTCGGCGTGGAGCTAAGATGAGCCTGGGCGTGGAGCTGAGGAGAGCCTGGGCGTGGAGCTGAGATGAGCCTGGGCGTGGAGCTGAGGAGAGCCTGGGCGTGGAGCTGAGATGAGCCTGGGCGTGGAGCTGAGGAGAGCCTGGGCACAGGGCTGAGCTGAGGCGGGCCTGGGCATCGGCCGAGGTGGTCCTGGGCGTGAAGCGGAGCTGAGTTAAGCGGCCTAGGAGTAGAGCTGAGGCGAGCCTGGGCGTGGAGCTAAGATGAGCCTGGGCGTGGAGCTGAGGTGAGCCTGGGCATGGGGCTGAGCTGAGGTAGGCCTGGGCATGGAGCCAAGCCGAGGTGGTCCTGGGCATGAAGCAGAGCTGAAGCAGGCCTGATGTGAAGCAGAGCACAGAGCTGAGGAGTGCCTAGGCGTGCAGCTGAGCTGTGACGGGCCTGGGTGTGAAGCGGAGCTGAGGCAGGCCTGGGCGTGGAGCTGAGGCTGAGCTGAGGCGAGCCTGGGTGTGAAGCTAAGCCGTGACGGACCTGGGCATGAAGTGGAGCTGAGGTGGGCCTGGGCATGAAGCAGTGCTGTGCGAAGCATGTGTGTAGAGCTGAGGCGAGCATGGACGTGGAGCCGAGCCATGACGGGCCTGGGCGTGAAGCAGAGCTGAGACGAGCCTTGGCAGGAAGCGGAGCTGAGGCGGGCCTTGGCAGGAAGAGGAGCTGAAGAAGGCCTGGGCATGTAGTTGAGGCTGAGCTGAGGTGGGCTTGGGCGTAGAGCTGAGGCTGCAATAATGACCTGCAGATATGCGTGTGTGACAAATCCAGATTGTCATCAGCTGTAGAGAGTAATCCGCTTGTTAAGTGTGACGTCACGCAGAGCGGCTTCCGGGTCCAAGCGCTCTATTCAACTGAATGGGGAGACTCATGAAATGGTACTAATAAACGTTTAAAAAGCGATTTAATACTTTCGAAAGTCACGATCGCAGTATATATGTACATGCCTAATATCCAATGGCCAGAAAGTGATTCATTGTTTTATAAATTGTTAAAATGTTGATATTTGTTATGCAGCAAGCCCAGAGATTGTTGTGTACACTATGACTTTATATAAAATTAACTTTAATGTGTGATAGGAATAAAACGTGATCATAAACGAATGATTTCTCCACTCAAATGAATGGCTTGGACCCGGAAACAGTATACATACATCACAAACACGTCGCCACTTAACAAGCGGATAGGATTGGTGCAAAGCATGATGTTTGTGAGTAGCTGGTGAGGTGTACATATAAGCTGGAGTGCCCTTGAGTCTTGTTGGCACTCCAGCTGATAACCATAACAGCATTGGCTTGTGCGCTTATGCAACATGCAATACTTGGCTAAATACACATCATTGTATTAAGAACGGATAACATGGGTAATATTTTAAAATAAACTACAGTCTGAAAGTATGCAAAATTGTTAATGGCCAAAATGACCAGTGCTTGAACATCACTTGGGTTTTGTTGGTGCACATGACAGCAAAGCCTACCTCATTTGCTTAAAAGCTGGAAGGCAGTGCAAAATTTGATGGAGGTGGCTGCCCCGTAGTTATCCATGCAGGAAAAAACTCAGATTTTTATTGCCAATAATAGTAATAATAATCCATATAAAATTTTAGGATAAATATTCCAATAGATCCATGAAATAAACTCATATATTTATATATATATATATATATATATATATATATATATATATATATATATATATATATATATATATATTGTTAATACAATTATCTCTCTGCGCATCACTGAAAAGTGTTTTTTAAATCTTAATAATTTTTTTAAGTTGTATCCTTCAAATACAGTGGTATTTCTCATAATTTTGTCTCATAACTAGGCCCACACGGAATCTGTGTGCAGATTTCTGCAGATTTTTAGCCCATTATTAATTCTGTTTATTTACTAGAGTAAATGTGTAAATCAGAATTTATTCAGTTTTTATTCAGTAATTTATTACTTTTTATTTAATATATTAAAGTTTTAGTTATGATACTCCGCTGGATACTCCCAAAATAATTCCGCAGAAATCCGCAGATTTTTATTAAACTTCTCCGCAGAAATAGCAAAAAACGTCCACAGATTCCGTCTGGCCCTGCTCATAACCTCCATGTGCTTGCAGTTGTACAGTAAGTATCATTAGATCAAACCGAAGAATGGATCATTCCACCAAATATCCAGCAGTGATCGTCAAAATAATAGTACTGTGCATCAATAATCACTGATCTCAATAAAAATATATTCTCATAACATAGGAAAATACATTTATAGTGCACCCTCCTTGTCATTAAAAAACAGAAAAGTCTGTCTAAATCCATATAATTTTGGTTATACTTATGCTTATCAACCTTATGTAATTTCAGTGCTTATTAATGAGAGTGGAATATTTAATGTAAACATGTATGAAAAATCATTGTTTACTTCATTACTTTCTCACTTCTGGGAAAAGTCCTTAATCATTGAATAAGTTTCACAATTTTTTTAAATTAAATAATAATATTGCATAATAGGAATTATCTTGTATCTGCAAGTTATATTAATCAGTGTTAAAAAGAAGAATTATAGCATTTATATAAAAAACACACAGTTCCAATATTGACCATTGGGGGCGCACTTTCAAAAACCGCTCATACGGTTGTTCCAATATTGACCACAGAGGGCGCAATCTCAAAAAACCGCACACACAGTTGTTCCACTATTGACCATTGAAGGCGCACTCTTAAACACACTTTTACACACACACAGTTCATGGCTGGTGAAACCAACCCCATTAGGACTTTGGGGCAAATTCAGGAAAACACTGCCACCTATGTTAAAATGGCCATTTCTATCAGTTTCAATGGTTGTGCCGGTGGGGACCCACATTCAGGTCCCCACCGCTCAAAAGGTCCCCACGGGTTTGGTGTGTAAACAGGTCCAAGTCCACACCAGGATATAAAAACAAACACACGCACACACACACACACACACACACACACACACACACACACACACACACACACACACACACACATTAATAAGCAAAGTTTTATGCAGTGCAGCATTTCAAACAGCGTATATTATATATACATTGTGGTGTATTGGGATAATGTGTGTAATCATCTGGGTGTCGGTCTGGCTATTCATTGGTTTTTGATAACTATTTAAGCCATGAGATGTACTGTTGTGATGATGTTGTTGATACTGAAGTAAAGCACACTTGATGTCATTTCTTGACTTTTGCCTCGTAAATATATAACAAACTAGCAACAAGGATGGGATCACCACACCACACACCAAACATACAAAGAGTCATTTGCTAATGTGCCACTGGAAAGAGCTGAAGTAAAATTAAAAACTTACACAGGTAAAAGCATTAAATTTCTGGGACAATTCAGAGCCACTGTTCAGTATGAACATCAAATAAATGAGTTGGCCTTGCTTGTGGTTGAAGGTAACGGACATAATTTGTCTGGTTGGAATTGGATGCACAAAATTAGGTTGAATTGGAAAGGAATTCACTATGTAAATCAATTGAAACATCCTGCATCAATTCATGAAGTGCCTGAGAAATACAATGAAGTCTTCAGGGATGAATTGGGAACTTTGAAGGATATTAAAGCCACAATTTCAGTAAAATCAGATGTGCCAACATCTTTCAAGAGTCGTTCACTACCCTTTGCTATGAAAGAACAGGTGGAAAAGGAAATTTGGAAAACAATTTGGCTATGTGGAGACTATAAGTTCACTGAAAATCAAGTTGCTACCACCGAAACATACCCATTACCAAGATTGAAGAAGTTCTGGCCACTTTAAGTGGAGGAAAAGTATTCTCTAAAATTGATTTAGCTCAGGCATACCAGCCAGTTTTGCTTGATGATGACTCAAAGAAATTTACAGCAATCAACACTGACAAGGGACTTTATGTCTATAATAGTCTGGCTTTTGGCATTAGTTCAGCCCCTTTTATTTTTCAAACTATTATGGAAAATTTGATGAAGGACCTGAAAGTTGTATATTTAGATGATTTGTTGATTGTGGGAAAAGATGAACATGAGCATCTATAAATTATTTGCCAAGTTCTTCAGCGGTTACAAGACTTTGGATTAAGAGTAAAAAATGGAAATGTGAATGGGGCCAGACTCAAATTGAATATCTGATCATGTGATGGATGAAGGTGGAGTGTATCCAACGAAGGATAAGGTGAAGGCTGTCCAAGATGCTTCAGAACCTTTAAATGTAAAATAATTGCGAGCTTTTTTAGGCTTGGTTAATTATTATGGATGTTTTGTACCAAATTAGAACACAGTGCTGGCACCGTTGTATAGACTTAAAAAGGCAAGTGGTCTGGTATTGGGGGAAGAAAGAACAAAGTGCATTTGAGAAGTGCAACGAGCTGTTTACTAGCGATAAAGTGTTGGTACACGATGATCCAGAGTTACCTGTGACACTACACTGTAAAAAATTTTAAGCCAGTTCAACAAAAAAAATCTTAGTACTAATTTTCTTCTGTTTTTTCTTGTTTACTCAACTTTTGAAAACATCAGCTACACTGACTGAAAATAATTTGTCAGTGAAACAAAAAATGTCTAGTTGAGTCAACTTAACATTAGTAGTTTTCTGGAAACCTGCACCTGCAGCACAACAAATATTTTTAAGTTGTGCAAACTGAACATTTCTTGTCTGCAGGACTGAAATGACAGAAGTTGAGTGAACAAGAAAATACAAAAGGAAATTAGTACTAAGAAATTATATGTTACCAGAGCAAAAGTTGTGTTAACTGAACATTTCTTGTCTGGATGGCCAAAAATGACAGAAGTTTAAAGAACAAGAAAATACAAAAGGAAATTAGTACTAAGAAATTATATGTTATCCGAGCAAACACACATGGCTCTGTTTTTTTAAGTTGTGCTGACTGAACATTTCTTGTCTGAATAGTCTGAAACAACAGAAGTTGAATGAACCAAAAAAATACAATTGGAAATTAGTACTAATAAATAAAATGTTATCGGAGTAAACACACATGGCAAAAAAAGACATACATTTTACCAAAACATTCATTTTCTTGCAGTACCTCACTAAAGTACAAAAACGAGGTAGTGTATCTGTAAAAAAAAAAAAAAAAAAAAACACAAACACTAAGTCAAATTAATCACATGAAAAGGAAACACAATTATATTAAATATATAACAATTACAGCACATCTCTGAGACTACCTTACACTATCAATTTTAATAACCTTAGAATATCCCATAAATTATTCACAACACCCTGCTGAAAAAACAGCGTATGCTGGTAAGGTATGTTTTGATGCTGGTCTTAATGCTGGTTTTGCTGGTCTCAATGCTGGTCTTGCTGGTTTCAGTGCTGGTCTCAATGCTGGTTTTGCTGGTCTAAGTGCTGCTCCTGACCAGCATTGAGACCAGCAAGACCAACATTGAAACCAGCATTAGGACCAGCAAAACTAGCATTGAGACCAGCAAAACCAGCATTAAGACCAGCAAAACCAGCATTAAAACAAGCAAGACCAGCATACCAGCATCAAAACATACCTTCCCAGCATATGCTGTTTTTTTTTTTTTTTCAGCAGGGCAATTAGGGCAATCAATCTGAATTACTAGTTGCCTTGAGATATAAATCTTAGTATTTGTTGTAATTCATTTCAAAATCTATACTTGCATAATTACATGTTTTGTGCTGGTACCTTGGCTGGTCATGGATAAATGTGATATTAAAACTGCCAGTAAAGGATCTTACTTTAGTAATAAGTGTTCCACTGTATACACCTTCAGTTCAAAATGAACGATTTATTACTATTATTTTGGTTTTGATTTGATTTTGTTTGCTTAATATAATAATAAGCAGTTGGAATATACGCGCTGTCACTTTAAGAGCCACCCTAGATAGTAAAATACACTTGGGCCAGTTCCGGCTAGATTCGCTGCCGCATCCGAGCCAGAATCGGCCCGCGAGTAATGTGCGCTGCAGCCCGGAGCTGGCGCAACTCAATATACCTTGATATAAAACCTTTTGGTATTATATTGGTACTTGATACATGGTATTACAACCATTTGAATTTATATACCAGCAAACGCAGGCTATAATGTAAAGGCAAAGTGTAGGCACTGCGTTCAACCTTTGAATAAAATGCAAACAGCATACATATCCGATAACAAAAATTATCAAACAAGGGACAAAATAAATAATAATAATAAACATTTATTGATTGCAATAAACAAATAATACTAAACTTGAATAAAATATTTTGTAGTGCACAAGAACGTCAATATAAAAATACAGGGCTGATAGTGGAAAAAACTCCTGAGCCTGAACTTTTTTTCCTTGCCCCTGAGGTGAGTAGGGGTGGGGGTACTATGTATGCAACGCACTTTTAACACATAACTTGTGGGCCCCTGGGCCCAAATATATTAACAGCCTATGTGTAACCCTGATCATCATTATTGTCAAGTGGCTCTTTTTAGACACATGCCAGTAATGTCAGTGACATTGATCTTGTGACATTTGCCAGTAGGTGTCAGTATAAGCACGTTATAAGCACATTAATCTTATAAGTCTCTTTGCTTTAATATTTAAAAATCATTAGGCAAATGACACCTGTTATCTTACATGCATATATGTTATGAGTTTTCAACATGCATTTTATTATAACTTTTTAAAGGATATTATTTAAAATACCTTAAAATGAAAATAAGTTAAATAATAAAATAAATGAATGAATTAAAAACATAGAGAAGTCCATATTGTAGGGAACAAAGGAACTGCCAGGATGCAATAATATACAGTACAACAGATAAGTGTAACCCCTCCCATACATAAGCATGCCACAATAAATTTGGCTGACATGTACTGTCAAATGACTATATTACGTACGGAAGTATGACTACGAATACATAAAATAAATGCGTTTAAATTAAAACATCGTGGAGTAGCTCAGCAAATAAACTAACTTGCGACGCGATAAATTAGGTTAAAAGTCGCGTAATGATTAAATATGGTTTTGCTCGTGTTAATTAATGTCATAAGCTTCGCCGGGTGTCGATGTCAATGCAGTGACATGCAGCGCGACACTGAGTGACACAGGTCACTACACATGCCACTAGCGAGTGACACATGACAGTGGAAAACCGGACGTGCCACCGGAAGTGTCACTACACTCAGTGGCATGTGCCAGTGTCATCTGTACGTCAGATGTCGTGTCACTCCACTGCTACTGTGAATCCGCGTTCAAGCGCACAGCCGCACACAATAAGCTAAAACTCGCCCCAAGCACCGGCAAAAACAAATAACAATGAATGTGTCGAGGAAAGAGTAAGGACATATCTTAATTATTTATTAATAAACTTATTCTGAGTCAGTGTCGCAAAGATCCTGACTGGCAATCTCCTCTTGGACTCGCCTTTAGAAATTCATCTTTACGGATTACATGAAGGAGTTTTTTTGTTTTCGATTTGTTTTATTTCGTCAAGTAATAATTTAAAGCTTTCTATAAATATATTTATTATGTCTGTGAGGCATATACATTTTGCTTCATTTTGTTAAGCGCTCCTGTTCAAAAACCAGACGACAGAAAGCGCATAATTTTGGTTTTCTTTATTTTATAAAAACGCTGTAACGTTTTTTGATGTATTACTCGTACTTTGTGAGCAAAAATGACGGATAACTTTAAATTGCTCCCACTGAAAAAATGCAAGTGATTGCTCTGGCGCCTCGATGTCCCGCAAGCTTTTTATAAGCAAACTATGCGCCTAATAGCACACATTCTTTAACGTTTAAGCTACCATTGTTTTATACTTAAACTCTTTTATATCTTTTATTTTAGGCAAGTCGTGATGATCTGAGAAGGCAAACTGATCAAACAGACAATGATGGTCTTCCGCTGGGCGCTGTTCGTTAAAAAAAACCAACTTATTTTTAAAATGCTCCAAACGTTTTTCTAAATAAGCTGAATAAAAAACTAAACTAAATATAAACACTTTGACATTAGGCTACATACAAAACTGAACTATTTCATAGCTGAAACACTAAGTTGTTTAAGGAGAAGGGGGAAATATATTTTTGTCCCGTCTATTGCTTCACCGTTATTTCGAGAATAAACCCAGCGTAAATATGCAGATGTCATTCCCAAAACATATCAGCGTATATGTGCCGAAAACGAAAGTTTCATACAAATTCTGAATGGATTATAGCCTGGAAAGTGCAAAGCACGCTCCTCTTATTATCACTAAAAAGCGTCACTAATCTTAGTTCATAAAGATCTCACAAAGATCCGTTATAATTTATAAAGCTCTCTAAATTACACAATTAATCTTTTATTTACATGGCGTCTACACTCAAAAGATGATTCACGAGCACACAAAATGGCACTTAATAAAACCAATCCGGCGCTTTCAGCAGTGAGTGAATTCTGTGAATCTAGAGAAATGACAGATCAATATCCGTGAACCTGATTTTTTTTTCCCGCAGCCACAGTACGCCGGAAATCCGGCGTGGTGCCGGAACGCTATCACCCCTGAAAATAATAATAAAACTACACAATAAAGACACACAGGAAGATTTAAAGACAAAATCTGAAATTGCACACATACACAGAAGTTTTTAAAACAACCCTGTTTTCCCAATAGACTTGAATTAAAAAATTGTACAAGACACATCTTAAAACAGCTTAATTTTATATAAACCTGAATATAGAAACCAATTTAAGATATAGCAAGAAACATCTTACAAATACCCATGACAATGTGTAAAATATACAAGTCAAAATTGTAAAAAGAACTGCAGAATTCTTAAGAAACATTTTTAATAAATGTAATCAATGTAATAAAACATAATAATACATTTAAATGAGTGAGATGATTATATATATATATATATATATATATATATATATATATATATATATATATATATATATATATATATATATATATATAATTTGATTTGTATATCTTTATGTCTTGTGCAATTTTTTATTAATATTTTTATTATATTATGTTAATTAAAAATGTATTAAGATGCTTCTTCAGAATTTAGCATATTGTCATTTTATATATATATATTATAATTATATTATATATATATATATAATTGCAAATAAAAGAAACAAATTACCCAAGTATCCGGGAACATCTTAATACACTTAAAATGTTGTTTAAAAAATAAATTATTGATGTAGACATTTGACACATTAGCTTTCTCTTCTTCCCTCCTTCCTCCAGCCCTGTCAGGAGCACGTTGTAGCCACCTTGTAATGCATTTTTCCACTTCTTTATCAGTGGCGTGGTATGGACATTTCTCCTCACTACATCTGTGATTAATAGATAAACAAACAATTAGTAGTGAAAAAGTACAAATGAAAAAAAGAAAGATGCTTGCTCTCATATAAGTACAACCTAAATGGGACTATATATAGATGTTTTGTTCCTCTGATTAATGATTCAAAGAAATACACAGATGGAACAGCCCCTAATTGTACTGAAATGTATATTTAAAACCAACTTACTGACTAGACAGTCCTAAGGGAGAGTGCATGAAAGGCCACATTTTGGTTTGCCCTGCTCCAGTTAATTTGTTCAGCCAAAAAGTGAGCCAAAAGCTTTCCCGGGACACACCAAACTGCTTAGTGGAAAACACCAATGATTCCAAAGTAGGCTACCTACGAAGCAAAAAACACATAAATAAATAAATAAACATAAAACACTTAGAAATAAGCAAGAAACTTACCAGTTTCTTCATTTGTTCGGGCTGCTCGTTTAGTTGATTTTCAAGTTTTTCCAAATCAAATTGGACAAAGAAAGGTCAAATGTGTTTACATCTGGAATTTCATCACGTCTGTTTTGGTTTTGCTGATTTGTGAGAATCAGGCACAGTTGCTGCTTTATGACGTCACATGATTTTAAAACTTTTATCAGTCGTGCTAAAAAAGAAAAATAACAAATTAGTATAAATCAACCTGTTGCTTATTCTCATGCAACTTGTGTAAATACAACAGTGGGTTAGACACTGCTGATATTCTCTAGTTGATCTTTACTTTCTAGCTGCATTAAGCAATTACAAATTTAGTGATGTCTTGAATTCTTACAAAGACATGACGAGTTGCAATAAGTTGTCTTGATCTCCAACTGTACTTGAACAAGGACTGTAAATGTTCATAGGTGTACTGAAATGTACAGCATCTGTGCATCTTGATGGTGTTCTTAAGGATCCTGCCATTGTCATTGGTGGTGATGGTACTTGCGGTGCTGCATCAATTTCTTAAATCTTCATATCAGTTTTTTCTCCAGCCTCTTTGTTCCAAATAATTTTTCTTCATCACGTTCACTATAGTTGTGTCTTTAATGCCCCTTGATCAGATACATTTACAAAACAAAACATAATTTTAGTATAGTGCAGGGCACTAGATCAATGACAATGGCAGTGTAATAGATCAATGACATAATGTTGACAGTATGTGTTTAAAATAATTGCAAACAAACCTGTTCTTTCTTTAGGTGTATGACAGGCAATCACTGTCCTTATCTGTCTGCAAGCCAAGCTGAGTCGAGCTTCCTCATGTGTGTCTATAATGAAACATCACATTGTTATTAACCTCCCCCCAAAAAGTTAAAATCCTGAAATACTATCAAAGTTAATTAATGACTATAATACCTATAGTGTAAATAATCAGCTCACTAAAGGTTACACAGGATTTATTCAGAGATTCATGCAGAGTGACAGCCTTATGAATCTTAGACATAGATTTGTAAGATGGCCAAGCACATGCATTATTCTGTACCCATGAAGATTAACCTACCATTGTGTAAAATGTTTGATGATGATGATGATAGCCAATAACAATAAACCATTTCAGCTGTTTGTGAAGCAATTAGTAATGTAAAGTCTGAAAAGCTCAATCTATGTTGAAAATGTATTAGCAGTTTACAGCTTATAATGGACTTTAATCACCCAACTATAACATGCCTATTCACATGTTCATAAGAATGTGCTATTGGTCTCTTTGATGTGCTACAAAATGACCTCACTAACCTTTGTTAAACAAGAACAGTAAGACTTAACTGAAAAAATATTCATTTATACCCATTCATTTAAATCAGAAATTATAACTGTCAATAACCAAAAAAAATAAAACCCTTCAAAATCTGCTTTAAGAAATTCAGTTTTACATGCGCAAATTACAGCTTGAACATAAGATATAATTGATTCACATAGGCTAACACATATAAATCAAAGCACATACTAATATATTTCTCTTAATAATAGAATAATTTAAAGAGAACAGTAAACGATCACTGATGCACTGCATAAACAAGTTAAACAATAACCTAACACTGTGAAAATGTTTTAAGCATTAAATTCGCAAAGTATACAGTATACAAGCAGTAAAAACCTTACCTTTCTGACCGGAATCCACTGTTTTGAAACGCCAAACTTCTTTTTCTTCTTGTGATCTTCATAGCGGTTGGAAACCAGCTTTTAGAACATTACCGCCACCGTCTGGATTGGAGTTTGGATGAGGAGTTGACACACGCATGCGTTTCTTATGAAACCCAACTTCTGCATGGAAGCGTGCTATCTCTAAAATAAGCGCATTTTACACTGTTTTCCCTAGATGATATATATAATCCATTTATAAATAATATTGTTTTGTTTGCATCTAAACATTGGGAACATCCACACTAAATGTTTTTATTATTTTATTGCTGTCGTACCATATATAATTTCTCAAATTATCATTAAACTTGGAGCTAACAAATTACTAGATAAAATAAGAATTTAATCGGTTGTCATCAGTTACACAAGCCGTATATGATGAACATTTAGGAGGACAAATTTAGATGAAGTGTCTTAAACAAAGAACTACAATCTTTGCACACTTACTATTAAGATTGCTCTTCCACGGCTTGCCTCTTTCCCCAACGAAGTACAATGCTTCCAATTTCTCCCGCCTGAGACGTTGACGTTACGTAAGCGCAACCATCGTAACGAGGGCGTGGTTTAGCTCAGGACAGAATGATGCTATATCGTCCTTTGAGAAACATATTTTTGAGTGCATGGTTTATTTTTAAATATTGGAATATCAAAGTATGCCTATCTTTTTGTAAAGGGTAATGAATAAACACGAGATGATAATGTGCATGCAAGCTTATTTCTGCAAATGTGCACCAAATAAAGTTAAATTGCAAATTAAAAGTTTCAAATAAAGTTACTATAAGTATTGTAGTGTTTTTTGTTGTTTTTAATAACAATGTGAAGAATAACAATATTTATTATTGTATTAATAATAATAATAATAATAATAATAGCATTTTCACTCAGCATTTACTTTTTAATACAAACTATGAAAGGTTCTATACTCATTTATTAATTTTCTTGTTGGCTTAGTCTCTTTATTAATCTGGGGTCGCCACAGCGGAATGAACCGGCAACTTATCCAGCAGGTTTTTACGCAGCGGATGCTCTTCCAGCCCCAACCCATCTCTGGGAAAAGGTTCTATAATGCCATTGATAATTTTTTTAGAATATTTAACATGTTTGAAACCTTTTCAATCAACAAAAGGTTATTGTACTTGTATATTCATTGCATTAAAAAAGTTAGAGATTGACTTAACACAAAAAAACAAGTTGGCAGATGCTTTTTTGGATGAACTAGCAAAGTGTTGCTCACAAAACTCATCTTTTTAACTTAATGAATAAAATCTTTGTTTAAGTTGATTGAATGTGTTAAATGTAGTTGTACAGACTTTTTTACAGATTTTTGCTGAACCAACAAAACAAATCAAGCAATTTCAACATTTGTCAAGTTGGATTTTTTACAGTGTAGCATGTGATGCTTCAGCTTATGGAATCATAGCAGTGTTGCAGCATACAATGCCAAAGGGTGAGGAAGTCCCTATGGCTTATGCTTTACTTACTTTGTCACTTGCAGAAAAGAAATATTCTCAGATTGAGAAAGAAGCATTGAGCATTATTTTTGGAGTAAACATTTTTTTTATCAATATCTGTGGGGACGATCATTTAAGTTGATGACTGATCACAGACCTCTTGTGACTTTATTTGGGGAGCATAAACACTTCCCAATGATGGTTGCTGCCCGTATCCAGAGGGGGGCAAAAATTTTAGCAGCCTATGATTATTACATTTGTTACCGCAAGGCAGAGATGCATGGAAATGTTGATGGATTGTCACAAGTTCCATTGCCTGAAATAGCCTGCTAACTAATCATCTACATGAGGCCCCTATAAATGCATCACAGATTGCTAGAACAACTAGAAGAGATCAACATCTGTCTAAAGTGAAGTGGCAGAAGAGTTGGAGGCGTTTCGGGCTAAAAGAGATGAGTTATCAATGGAACAGCGTTGTGTGCTATAGGGAACAAGGGTGATTGTACCTTTCAAACTTCGGAAATCAGTGTTGTATGAACTTCATGCAGGACACTCTGGCATTGTTAAAATGAAAGCTCTGGCTCGCAAATATGTATGGTGGCCAAAAATTGATATAGATGTGGAAAGATGTTGCAAAGAGTGTGAATTTTGCCAACAAGAACAACGAGTGCCCAGTCAAGATTCCTCTTCATCCATGGGAGTTTCTGGATAATTCTTGGAAACGTCTGCACATAGATTTTGCTGGCCCTTTCCTGAACAATGTTTATGATTGTAATAGATGCTTATTCAAAGTGGTTAGAAGTCTTCCGAATGTCACACATTACAACTCAAGGTACAATTACCAGAGTGAGGTGATTGTTTTCGACAACTGGATCATCAGACAATTGTGACTGACAATCCAACTACTTTTACTTCAGATGAATTTCAGAGATTTGTAAGAAGGAATGGTATTTTGCATAGTACTGGGGCACCTAGACATCCAGCCACTAATGGGTTGGCAGAGAGATATGTCCAGGCCTTTAAGGTGGGCATGAAAAAACTAAAGAAACGAACAGATGTGCATTGAAGATAAAATATGTTTATTTTTTAATCGCACCACCCCAAATTGTATTACTGGGCAAGGTCTCAGGGGGGTGCTCTGGGAGGTGTGCAGTACCCTCAAAGTGTGCGCAGTTGTAACGCCGGGGAGTGACACAAACAACTGGAGTTTTGGATCCACATGCAGGTATATTCAAAGTCAGGTAAGCGATGGTCAACACAGGTGCAAACAGGTATTTGGAGAAAGTCCAGAATCACAGTCGAATACAGGCTAGAGGTCAGAAAGGCAGGCGGCAGGCAAAGACAAAGAGGCTAACAAGGCTAACGGTTGGTACACAAGATAACAAGACTGGGAAACCGCGTTGTAATGTCACTGATACAGCTAACAAGACTCGGCAATGTGAATGAGTGTGTGTGCTGCTTAAAGAGCCCATATTATGGGTTTTTGAAAATTCCCCTCCATGTAGTGTGTAACACAGCTCTAAGTGAAGTGAAGTATCCAGCTAAGGCTTAAATCTGTAAGAGTACAGTGTTTAAAACGGTTGATTCATCTATAAAAGAGTCGACTCATAATGCTTCAAACGAGTCGCCTTGATACAGAGTCATTAGGTGTTTCGCCATGACGTACGAACGAAACCAAGTTATTCACGTGGACGCGCAAACCTGGTAGATTTCAAACCTGAGACCCCGCCCTCTGACGCAGAAACCCAGACACACACCCACAAACACACGCACACAAACATGCCGGTCGATTGAAGTCACACTGCAGATAGATATTATCGAGGGTCTACCCAAAGATGAAACCTCAGCATTATAACCAAGCAGTTGGAAACTACTGGAAACTACATGCTACAAAGAATACTTCATCGGCATTTGTTAAAGGAAGGATCAGTAAAGAGTAACTTACTGATGGACGTCAGGATTAGTTTCTTCCTCCATTTCTCAAGTGTAAGTTTGTGCGATTAAAGTTGTTGCCTCGTTGACTCTAGCTTGCAAATGTATTTAGTTGTGATTTGTTACTTGTAACCGTGTGTACTGTATCAGGTTAACTGGCTATATTCTCTTATCGCGTGCAAAGTCACGTTAAAAACGCGACCCGTGCTGCTTTGTTTATGGAGCTCCGTGGAGGAGTAGTGTGTGTGTGTGCGTGCGCTGTCGTCCGGAGGTATGTGTGTGTTTGTGTGTGTGTGTGTGCGCGTTGTCGTCCGGAGGTGTGTGTGTGTGTGTGTGTGTTTGTGTGTGTGTGTGTGTGCGCGCGCGCAAGGACGAGGGCAATGTGTGTGTGTGTGTGTCTGTGTCTGTGAAAAGAGCAGAGTGAGACAAGCTATGTGATCTCCTCGACACTTTTTGGAGTTTTTGCTCAATAAAATAGTCGTCTGAATTTTCAAGTCCATTGACTGTATTTACATTGACCCACTGGCAGCTAAAATCCACGTCTACACTATCGAGCGTGTATGAACTGTGATTACTTTTATATTGCTGATTAGCTGTTTGGCATTTCACTCTGACTGAAGGCAGTCGACCAATTGCATTGGTCATTGGTCCAATCAGCGCAGATTAGCTTCGCGCTAAGGAGGGGTTTGGGAACAAATGAATCACTGGACGATTCATACAGGAGTCGCTGGGATAATTAGGTAAAAATAAATGCAGATTATAAGACCATGAAAGTGTTTTTTGACCTTGCATGCATATTAGACTGTTGTTGGAGACCCTTACAACCAAGATATGACCCTATTTCATGTATAATATGGGGTCTTTAAATACTGTGTGTAATCAGTCTTTGACAATCCTCAGGTAGTGAGTGTAATCAGTCTAAATGAGGAAGCAGGTGTGTGTGTGGCATG